CACGTCAGAGACGCAGCCGGCACAGGCTCCTGGGGAGCGGGGATTCCGAGGGCAGCCGCTGAGAGACCAGGCTCACGCACCACCACACAGACTCTGAACAACACTCAGCTGGGCACCATGGTGGACGGGCCAGATCCATGCAGAGAGGTTCCAGTGTGCGGCAGCCCCTCTCCCTTTTGGGGAGTGTGGGGGGAGGTGGGAGGGCAGGTTAGAGAGGCATGAGAGACCTCAGGACACGCTCCCTGCCTGGGAAGAAAGCCAGCTCAGGGAGAGTGGGCAGGAGGCAGCGGCCCTTTGAGTGCCTGGATGCAGCCATGCCTGAACACCTCCGCTGAACATCTCAGACCTGGGCAACCACAGATGGGCCTTTTTCCTCAGGGCTTCCAGGGGTTTCTGTTGTGTTGTGTTTTGTTTTTTCACTTCCAGCCAAAGGATAGCAACCCTGTCTTTGGACCTCCCATTCCATCTCCTTCTTAACTCTTGAACCTTGATCTGCCTGGCCGCAAAGACAGAGTCAGACCTAGCTTTTTATTCCAAATTAGTGGCCTCAGACACCATTTTTATCCTGCCCTGGCCCTGAGCTCATCAGGATGCACCCGGAGCTGGCTCAGAATGTCACGGGATTGGGGGGGGGGGGTAGACAAGGAACAAAAAAAGAAAGATCTGCATTCCCATATTCAAATGAGCTCTGCAGAATGAGAGAGAATATCAGGTCCTCTAAGGGGAGGTGCACGCTGGCCCCACGCCCTGGCGGGGCCCCTAGCGGTCACTGGGACTGCAGCTGGCCTTCCATGGCCCCTGCTCCCTCATTGCTTCTCATTAGTGAGCCCTGTCCTCGCAGCAGAGGCTGAGCGCCGCGGGCAGCGGCATCGGGCTCGCCCTCCATCAAGGGAGAATGGTCTTTTCTAGCAGAGCAACAGAAGCCAGAGGCAAGCGGCCACCCAGGCCGGCACTGGGACACTCCAGCCCGGGGCGCCTCCACCCAAGGCCCCGGTCACCCGTGGCATGCCTCCTAATGACTGCCTGGCAATTCAGTCTCAGGGCACTCAAAACGCGGCTCCCGTCACCCCCCGCCCCCCAAAGCTGCTCCACGCCTATGTGAACGCCAAACCTGAATCAGATCCGACCAGAGTCCCTGCTTCTCACAGCCATCGAGATCTCTGGTCAGTCTCCCATCTGGGCTGCACAACAGCATCCAACGAACCCCGCCTTCCGTCCTCATCCTGCCTGACAAACCCCCCCACAGCCACCTGCCCGTCCCCAAATTCCCCCAAGCTCCGCCTCACCCTGAGGAAGCGCCAGCATCCTGTCCACGCCGTGGGCTGTCACCCCACTTGCCCCAGACCTCCCTCCCTCCCCATGCCTTTCTCTCTGCTCCTGCCCATTCACATCCCATCCCAAGCTGTGCCCACAGGGGTGGCCCTTCATTCTGGGAGGCAGCTGCTGTGGGATGGCATGTGGACCACACTGCCTGGCCCGTGACCCTGGGCCTTTCAGGCCCTTCTGTCACTGGGACACAGTCCCTGGCAGGACACTATGCTCAGAGGAAGTGCCGCCCTTGGGTATGGACAGAGTTGGTGCCTCCTCATGGCACCAACTCTGTGGGCAGGAGGAGGAAGCTGCTCCCAGAGCAGGCACTGTGCCCGGGGAGGGGGGGGTGCAGGTTAACACCCACGTGGGCAGTTGGCCACAGGCTGCTCTCCTCTGCTGCTAGGCCTTTTGGGTACTAGGTGCCATTTTGGGGCTGGTGGTCAGACACTGAAGGAGTGGGCTTCAGCAGGTGAGAGCTCTGCTCCTGGGCCCGTCACCACCCCCCGTGGCCGCTGCCTCTAGGCTGCCTTGCTGGTCTGGGTGGTTTATTGACAGGACCTCTTTGAGGCAAATGTGTTGGGATAGATGTTTGCAGGAGGCACAAAAACTCATGGGTGCCCAGTCTCCTGTCATCGATTTGGCTCTGGCCCAGGGCTCCATGTCTCCATCTTCAGGCTTTTCCCTCCAGGCCTCTGGCTCCCTTAACTAGGACACCGACCGCTGTGTCTGGACGCATGGAACTTCCCACTGACCACACTCCCTTTTCTACCCACAGCACGGAACTGGAGAGTCACTCCAAGACAGAGTCCTCCAGGACCTGAGCCCCATGAAGCCTGCCTTGTTCGGCTGTCTGTGGGAACAGGGCCATGCTGGGGCCTTGTGCAAGCATGCGGGCCACACTGGTACATTGACAGGCCTCAGGGGCCCTCCTCCAGACCAGGCCAGCCGCTGGGTTGTGTGTGTAGGCCCCAGGCCTCCTGTAATCCTAGGCAGGCCACCTGCAGGCTCTGCTGATCCTTCCTTCCCGCTGTCAGGGCTCCTGGAGCTAATGAGGTCACACGAGTAAGGGCTAGCCAGATCCACAGGGGCGCCCACCACAACCATTGTCCTCTTGTCAAACCTCTGGGCTGAGCACTCCCAGGACTCCGGTTCGCTTCCGTTTATGGAAGACCTCCAGGCAGAGAAATTTGGTAACATCCTAAGGTCATACCATGGGGTCCCACAGGGCCAGGGTAGAAAATGACCCCTAGGACAGAGTGTGGTCCTCAAGGTGGGCCTTCTACTCCGAGTACCTACCCGCTGCGGCAGGGATGACCCACAGACAGTCTTTCAACACTGCCCTCGGGGCGACAATCCCTCCCAATAACTGTGGGGGTGGGGGCTGCCCTGGAAGGAAAGACCACCGAGTTTCCCTGCCCAGCTGGCTCTCTGCCCCACTGGCTCTCTGGGGGTGGACAACAGGCAGGGAAGTCTTTGGGGAGAAAGGTGGGGGAGGGGAGGCAAGCAGACCTCCACCACACCCCAGCCCTTGGTTCTGCTTGGGGTCCCAGTAACTGAGTTGGACTTGAAACATGCATTCTGCAAGTTTCCAGATTAATGACCACCACCAGGACAGTGGTAACTTTGCAAGGACTTTACAGACTTTTGCTGACTGTCCCTCAAGCCTGGATGAGTAGCAATTAGTATTCCTTGTGCCACTGTGGGGTCCCTGGGGCTCCAGGTCATAGGAGCCAGGCCTTCCTGTGGACCTCCACCCAACTCTGTCTCCTGAGGTTGGGTGGCGTGGGGGGTCACAGGCCAAGCTGGGGCAGCCTTGGGAGTGAGGGAGGGACAGGACCCAGAGGCAGCTGTGGGCTGGGTCTGTGAACAGCTCTGCCCAGCGCCCCAGGCCACAGGAAGGCTGGGAAACAAGGTCTGAGGGGTGAGGGGTCCTTCCAGCCAGTGCCAGGAGCCTGGCATCGGGGCCACCAGTTGGCTGCCTGAGTGGGACAGGTCCTGCCCAGTGGGTGAACTGGGCTGGGGTGAGTTGGGTCTGGGGGAGTCTGCCAGAAAGGTGGGGGGTGAACTGGGGTGGGTCCCCCTTCTCTCCAGCAGACTAAGCAGTGTCCACTGGCCAGCCGGGCTCCTGATCTAGGCTCCTCTGTAACACGCCTGCAGGAAGAAACCCCAGTCTTTGACCCCTCCCCAAAGTTCCCACCGGGCGCTGGGGGAGGGGCAGCCCTCACGTGACCAGAAGCTGCTGTCCTTAAGGGGTGCCGGCGCCTCCCCCACCCTCTGCTCACCCCCCCCCCCAGGCCCCCGCCGCCGGCCACCGAGGAGCAGGCGCCGCTTCCCCTCTCCCTCGGGCGCTGTTCCCTGTCTGCTGTCTGCTGTCTGTTCCTCGGTCCCAGCCTGACGCTGGGTGGCTGTTTCCCTGACTGTGGGTGTCTGTGTGTCGGAGCGTGGGCATGTCTGTCTGTCTGTCTGTCTGCGGTAAGCTCTCCGCGTGCCTCCGTCCTTGACCCTGGGCACCTGAGCACGCGGGAGGGGGAGGGAGGCCCCGCGGCTCTCCTCCCCCGCCCCTCCCGCCGGCGCTAACGCCGCCGCCGCCGCCGCCGCCGCCGCCCCGGCCGCGCCCGGAGCGCGGTGACCTCGGCGGCCCGCGGCACCGGGACCACCCCGCCGCGCTGACCGCGGGTCCGCGGCCCGGGCCCCCGCCGCCGGCCGCTCCCATCCACCGGGGCCGCCTGGGGCCCGGTGGGCGCGCTCCGCTCCCGGCCGGGCCGCTCCGGCTCGTCCTCCCTTATGTAACTCCACATCTGTGCGCGCCTCGCCGGTCACCCTGCACTTGCTCTGGACCCCGGCCAGGAGTCGCCCGAGACCCAGGGTCCCGTGCACGGGGGACGCGAGCCCGGGACGGGGCCGCGCTCGGAGACCCCTCCCCAGCGCGTGGCCTCCGGAGCTGCCTTCCCCGCACCGACCCGTTCGTCCACGCAGGGCGCGAGGAGGGGCCTGGCGGGGCGCGCTCCGCGGCCGGGGCTCACGCCGCCCCCTCCCCACCCCCCACAGGCGCCCGGGCCACAGACGAGGGCCGGCCGGGGGTCAGCGGGGCCCAGGGCACGAGGGCAGCGGGACGGCCCCGAGGCCGGGCCCCGGGCGCGGTCTCGGGTGAGCCCCGGGCACACGGTCCGGCCGCGGCGGGGCCGGGCTCCGTGCCAGGCGCCGTGCGCCCCGGGGCCGGGGCTCCAGCCGGTCGAGCGGGCACGCGGCGCTGTCCGTGGTGCTGCCCGCGCCGGGCGGGGCGGGGGCGGGCCGGAGGCGGGGCGAAGGCGCCAGCCAATGGCGGGGGCCCTGCGCGGGGCGCGGGGGGCGGCGGGCCGGGCGCGGGGCGCACTCCGCCGCGCGCGGCGCTCGGGGCGCACGGACGCGCCGGCGGCGGCTGGGGCTCCGGCTGCGCTCCCGCTGCCCGCGGCTGCGGCGGCTCGGATTCCGGCCCCAGCCCCCTCCCCCGCTCCCTGCGCCCCGCGCCCCGCGCCTCACGGCCCGGCCCCGGCCCCAGCCCCGCGGACCATGCGCCCGGCGCCCCCCGGGAAACCGGACCGGGCGGAGAGCCGGCCGAGACCAGGCTCCCGGGCGGGGGCCCCGCGCGGTCGCCCAGCCCTCTGCCCGCGCCCGGCCCCGAGTCTCGGCGCCGAGTGAGCTGCGGGGCCATGGAGCGCGCGCCGCCCGACGGGTTCCCCAACGCGTCGGTGGCGCTGGCGGGAGAGGCGGCGGCGGCGGGCGCGGCGCGCGGCTTCTCGGCCGCCTGGACCGCGGTGCTGGCCGCGCTCATGGCGCTGCTGATCGTGGCCACGGTGCTCGGCAACGCGCTGGTCATGCTCGCCTTCGTGGCGGACTCGAGCCTCCGCACCCAGAACAACTTCTTTCTGCTCAACCTGGCCATCTCCGACTTCCTCGTGGGTAAAGCCCCCCGACCCGGAGCGCCGCCGAGCCCGGCCGGGGGCTCTGCCGGGGAGCGGGCGTCAGGCCCCGCGGGGCGGGGAGCGCCGGGAAGTTCCCGGCCTCCCGGGCTGCGGGACGGAGCGGAGGAGGGGCGCCCTCCGGGCGGGGCCCGGGCCGCGGCGCCCCGGCCAGACAAAGGCTGCGGCGGACTCGGGACGCGCGGGGTGGGGGGGCGGCGGGGCGAGGGGCGCCCTGGGCGCGGCGGGGAGGGGGACCTTGAGCGCGGGGCCGGGGAAGGGGCGCGGGGAGGGCGCCGGGGGAGACGCCGAGGCGCGCGCTCACGTGTCCGCGTCCTGCTGCCGACGGGGGGCGGGGCGCAGGGAGGGGGCCGAGCGCCAGACACCTGTTGGGGCTGCGAGCTGCGTCTTCCAGACGCTGGGAGCCGGTTTTGGCGGTGGGAGCGGCTGGGGCGGCAGCCAATCGCCCTTTAAGCCAGGAGAAAGGCTGTTTTGGCTTCTCAGCAGAGGAACAAGGCTGTCCAACCGCCAGGATAGGGGCTGGGAAGGAGGAAAAGACTCTTTCCTCCTCCCTTTGCAGGCTGAGAGGGCTGAGCAGAAGCCGGAGCTCTGGCCTTAAGATGCTCAGAGATCCCCTGCCTGAATCCTCCCTCCTGCCCCCTCCCCCCAAGTCCAAGAGACAGGGGTGGGGGAGACTGGGGGCCGTGCTGAGGCTGAAGGCTGGGACCCCAAAAGTTGTGCCCTGGAGAGGGTAAGATAAGGGACGCTGGTCCTTGGGTGCCTGTGTCTGCTCCCACACAGGGCTCACCCCACTCCCCTGCCGGCCGCGGTCCCACACAGTCCTCCTCTCCCTCAGGTGCCTTCTGCATCCCGCTGTACGTGCCCTACGTGCTGACGGGCCGCTGGACCTTCGGCCGGGGCCTGTGCAAGCTGTGGCTGGTGGTGGATTACCTGCTGTGCACGTCCTCCGTCTTCAACATCGTGCTCATCAGCTACGACCGCTTCCTATCCGTCACCCGCGCCGTGAGTCCCGTGTCGGGAACCGGGGTTCGTGCCTGCGGAGGGTGGTGTGCGGTGGCCACGGGAGGGGTTGGGAGGTGGCGGCCACTAGCCACTTGTGAGTTGTGGGCCGGTGCTCAGGGGTTGGTCCTCACTGGCCTCCGAGCTGGCATGCGCGGGTTTCCATCTGCTGCCGCTCGGTGCACTGGGAATCCGATGTTCCTGCAGGGAAGGGCCCACAGCGCAGCCCGGCGCGGGCGCACGCCGCGCCCCTGGCGCTGAGTGTCTGTGTCTCTCACTTGAGTGCATGTGGTGGTGCACACCTGGCCCCAGGGAGGCAGGCTGAAAGTTCTGGTTGCCCAGGCTCCTCTTGGTAAGACTGAGGAGCTACCGTGAGTGAGTTAGCTCTGGACCTGCAGGACTCACGGCATGGGAGCGTGGCGGGCGCTGTGGCGTGAGTTTGCAGCAGCTCCCTCCCCGCCTCCTGGCGGGGTTGCCACCGAGGGCGCTCCCGGCCACCCTGTGCCAGGGGAGCAGGTTTCCTTTGAGCCTGGGAAGGCTGAGGCACGGTGTGCTGAGCAGTGAGCACCAGCCTGGAGTCCTCTTGAGCTGTTCGGTGGTGTTCTTCTCACACCTCCTCCAGCCACCAGGAAAGCAGGACAGTCGTGGGGCTGAAGTGAGATGAAATGAGGTCACACCCAAAGGGCGCCCGGCACGGAGCCGGCGTACTGAGGCCCCTCGCTGACCTGTGGTCAGCAGTAACCGGTCACCTCCCAGGGTGCCCAGTGGGCAGCCTCAGGCCGCTCTCGGGCCCTGTCCCCTCCTCCCCGGGCAGCTCTACCTGAGGCAGAGCCCGCGGCCCCTCCCGCCGCTCTGCCATGCTGCCAGGTTGCTCTGTGCCCTTGGAGGGTAGAGATGTTGTTCTTTCGCAAGTGCTTACTGACTCGACCTTGGCTACCCACTCTTCTTCCAGAGCCGTTGACACGGACGGGGGTGGGGGTGGGGGCCTGGGGTCTTCAGAATGGATATTGTCATTCTCGCATCTCCAACCCCCCTGGTTGGGGAGCACCAAGTGGAGGCAGAGCCGGGTCCTCCCTGTAGGCACAGCAGGGCTCTGCAGACGGCTCGGGCTTACAAGATGCAGCAGCGACACTCCTGGCCCTGGGGTGGGGACACGTGGATTGACCAGGAGGGTCTGAGGCTCGAGGAGGGTGTGCAGGGCAGGGGCTGGCCAGGGGCACAGGCAGGGGAGGGGGAGGGGAGCACTGCTGCAAAGAAGAGGCCTCCCGAGCTCCTAGCCCTGCTCACCGCCCCGCGTCCCATGCAGGTCTCCTACCGGGCCCAGCAGGGTGACACCCGGAGGGCAGTTCAGAAGATGGCGCTGGTCTGGGTGTTAGCCTTCCTGTTATATGGGCCGGCCATCCTGAGCTGGGAGTACCTGTCCGGGGGCAGCTCCATCCCCGAGGGCCACTGCTACGCCGAGTTCTTCTACAACTGGTACTTCCTCATCACCGCCTCCACACTGGAGTTCTTCACGCCCTTCCTCAGCGTCACCTTCTTCAACCTCAGCATCTACCTGAACATCCAGAGACGCACCCGCCTCCGGCTGGACGGTGCCCGCGACGCGGGGCCCGAGCCCCCGCCCGAGGCCCAGCCCTCCACGCCTCCGCCGGCCCCGGGCTGCTGGGGCTGCTGGCCCAAGGGGCAGGGCGAAGCCGTGCCCCTGCACCGGTACGGGGCTGGCGAGGCCGGGCCTGGGCCCGAGCCCGGGGATGCTGCGCTCGGGGGCGCCACGGCCTCGCCCACCTCCAGCTCTGGCAGCTCCTCCCGGGGCACCGAGAGGCCACGCTCGCTCAAAAGGGGCTCCAAGCCATCGGCATCCTCGGCGTCCCTGGAGAAGCGCATGAAGATGGTGTCCCAGAGTATCACGCAGCGCTTCCGGCTTTCACGGGACAAGAAGGTGGCCAAGTCGCTGGCCATCATCGTGAGCATCTTCGGGCTCTGCTGGGCCCCGTACACGCTGCTGATGATCATCCGGGCGGCCTGCCACGGCCGCTGCATCCCCGACTACTGGTACGAGACGTCCTTCTGGCTCCTGTGGGCCAACTCGGCGGTCAACCCCGTCCTCTACCCGCTGTGCCACCACAGCTTCCGCCGGGCCTTCACCAAGCTGCTCTGCCCCCAGAAGCTCAAGGTCCAACCCCACGGCTCCCTGGAGCAGTGCTGGAAGTGAGCCGGCGGCCCAGGCCCCCCCATTCGTGCCCCTTGCACCCGATCTCCTGGGCGACCCCTTCTCCCGGCCCAGCCCTCTGCACGCCCCGTCTGCGGCCCACCCTGAGCACAGTGGCCTCTCTTAGTCATCCGTCACGCAATGGGGACATTGGGTGGGCTGGCTTGGGGCCTCACTGGCTGAACTGGTGTGGGGGTGTGGGCCCCGTCCTCCTCCATCCTACTTTCCTCCCAGAGGGATGATGCAGGAGCCTGGAAGTGCCATGGCCAGTGGTGTCCACCTTTCGCACATTGCAGTGGGGCTTTCCCCAGAGCGGATGCTACGTGTGTGCTTCAATCCCTGCCCACGCACGTGCCCATGCACCCGCATCCCCCCCCCCCCCCCCCGGGCTGGCTGGGGACGCTGCCTCTGCTGCTGCTCGCGCTTCAGCCCAGGCCCTGGCTCCTGCGTCCCTCCGACTCTGTCCCATGAAGTCACAAGTGCCCCGGGAACCTCGAAGCCGTTCTCTGCTTTTCCATTCTGGGTGTTTTCAGGAAGATGAAGAAGAAGAAAACACGTCTGTGAACTTGATGTTCCTTGGATGTTTAATCAAGAGAGACAAAATTGCCGAGGAGCTCAGGGCTGGATTGGCAGGTGTGGCTCCCACGCCCTCCTCCCCCTGTGCAGCGGCTTCCGCCTGAGCCGCACCAGCTGCGCCTCCCGCCCCGCCAGCCCAGGGCCGGGCCGCGGCCACGAGGCTGCTCCACTGCCCAGAGCCTGCTCCGCCCCTCCTGCTCCAGGAGAATGTCTTGGGGGTGGTTGGTTGGGGGGGGCGGGGGAGGGAGGGCCGCTTTGCTATGTCCCGTGTGCCCGTCTCAGGCACTTGCATGCCGCGCTGCCTGAGTGCCCGCTACGCTGCCCCTGCCACCCTGAAGTCACAATAAAGTGTATTTTTTTATTGGTGCTGATTCCTGAGGAGTCTGTGGGGCGGGCGGAACGCAGGGCTCGGGAGGCGCTGGGGTGAAGAGGTGAGGCGCAGGTAGTGGTGGCGCTCCCCATCACGGAGGACCAGAGGGGGAGGAGGAGGCCTGCCGCCCAGGGCTTCTCCCTGGAGCACGGCGCCCGCAGTGCCCGCACAGGGCCCCGCAGCCCTCAGGGCCAGGCGGCGGGGGGCAGGGGAGGGGCCTGCCTGCCTGTTCAGGAGGGGGAGGTGGCGCCGAGAGGGGCTCCCCCAGCCTTGGGCATGTGCACCCACTCCCAGAAGTGTGGCAGGAGCCGTGGCACAGCCTTCACCTGGAAGGCAGCTCTGGGCCTTGCACACCTCAGGGTGCGGGGCGGACACAAGCCGTGCCCTGTGCATGCACTCGGAGGGACTCAGGAGAGCAATGGTGGGAGACCAAGGGGTCCAGGGAGGGCTGCTCGGCCAGGGCTGCCGCTGGGCGGGGTGTGGAGAGGGGGGTGTGGAGAGGGCGGATGCGCAGAGCACCGCAGGGCTGTGTCTGGGGGCAGGATGCTGCTGCAGGCTGGGACAGCGGCAACAAGATGGGGGGGGGTGCCCTGCTCCACGAGGGACGAGCAGACGGTGCCCCACCCCCCTTGCAAACAGGACAGCATGCCGGCCCTGCTGCTGGACTCCCCAGACCTGGCCTGACCTGCCGCCTCCCCTGAGGGGCCCGCCTCTCCTCCCTGGGGTGGGGCGTCCTGTCATCCATGGCCACGCCACGGGCCGGCCCCCCTGGCTCCTCCTCAGGACAGAGCAATGTCCTGTGCACGACAGAGTTTCACGATGTCTCAGATTCCCAACCCTTCAAGGAATCCAGCCCACAAAACCCCTCCTGCTCCAGGTGCTCCACACCCCACATCCTGGCCACACCTGTGTCCCTACACCCTAACACTTCCCTCAACCCAAGCTCATCCCGCCCCTCCAGCTCTCCTTCCCACTCCTGATTGTGTGTGCGTGTGTGTGCATGCACACACGTGCCAGTCCTGGGGCTTGAACTCAAGTACTCAAGCTCTTGCTTAGCTTTATTGCTCAAGCCTGGCACTTACCACTGGGCTACATCTCTACTTCTAGCTTTGGCTAGTTAAGAGATAAGAGTCAATTTGTCTGCCCAGGCTTGCTTTGGACTGTGAGCCTCAATTCTCAGCCTCCTGACTGGCTAGGATTACAAGCGTGAGTCACCAGTGCCAGACCCACTTTGGGTTTGGATTCTGTCTCCCTCTGGCTCGGACAGGCCCCTCTTCTTGGGGCACCACACAGGCCACTCCTTACTGACCGGAGGGGAGGGGAAGCTTGGAGATGCTGGGCCTCACTCCGTAATTCCCACCCCAGCCCCGGGGCTGGGCCTGTCCTCAGGGCGGGAAGCCTGAGTTCTGGGCACTGAGTATGGAAGGTAGAGGCCGCCTTCTACAAGGCAGACGCTGCTCTGACCCGGAGGCCTGTGGGGAAGCCACAGTCCTGAGCTTCGCTGGCCCCGCACCACCCAGCCGGGCCTCCCCGGGGGCAGGCAGGTGTCTGTCCCACAGCCCAGTGTCTGGGGAAGGACAAAGAATTGCTCGCCCCAGCAAAGGGCCCTTTCTGGCGACAGCACAGCCAGAGCCCTGGCTGCCCCGCTGCCCAGCCCTACTAAATGGCTACAAATTGGAGGATAAAAGCGCAGGCTTTCAAGCAATTTTGCCTTCAATCTCTGGAAACTGCCGCTCCCAGAGCCGCTGCGTGGGGACAGAGGAGGAGAGAAGAAAGACACGGAGCCTATTGGGCCCCACGCGTCTGCAGCAAACAAACAGCCGAGGGGCTGTCTGCCATCCCAGCCTCTCCTGCAGTCCCAGCCCTGGAGGAAACAAAGATGCAGCTGGGCCCAGCCGCACAGCTGCTGTTTACTGAGCGCCTACTGTGTACCAGGCAGGCAGCAGGGGGCCTGCCCTGCAGCCGGAGCCACACCCACAGTGGCGCTGCTGGGTCCTGTGCGGGAAGCTGCTCCTGCGCGGCCGCTGGCCCGGCTCTCTGTCGCTCCTTGGAGTGGGGAACACCACCCTGCAGCCAGCTGGGCAGGCCTCGTGGAGGGGTCTCAGGGCCAGAGCCTGCCTGGGCCCCGCTGACGGGCAGGCGTTGGCTGCTTGTGTTGCTCTCCTGGCCTGCCCTGCGCTCGCTCTGGGGTGTCCGCTAGGGAAGGTTCTGGGCACAGGCTGGCTGCAGGGGGGAGGGCTGTCTTCCCAGTCTGAGCGGGAGCTCCAGAGCACCCAGGTTCTGTTCTGTACACGGGTGAGCCCAGCCCGTCCTTCTGCGAAAGGCCAGATCACGGGGAGCGAGGACTGCCAGAGGGACGGCCGCGTGGCCCTGCCAGGCCGAAGCCTCATGGCCTCCCGGCACTCCTGTTCCCCCGCCGCTGTGGCTGGGCCTTCCACTGGGCGTCGTCCACGCTCCTTCTGGGTGCCAGCCGAGGCCTCAGCCCCGAGGGGCGCCTGCCCACTGCTCTGCAGACGGAGGGCAGCAGGGATGCTGGCCCCTCTCCTTCCCCTCTGCTGTCCCTCCCGGCAGCCAACGCCAGTGCCAGGCTTCGCCTAACCCAGCTTCTCTCTGCTCATCTATTCTTCCTGCACCTGCTGTGTGCTGGGCACCGCCAGGTGGCCAGGACTGTGCTGGGGACCAGGGCCCCCGGGGCAGTGCCAGGCAGGAGGATCCCCAAAATAGGGAGCAAAGTGGGCATCTGTGAGGACTCTGGGAGTCCTGGAACCAAGCCCCAGCTCTGCTCATCTCAGCATGAAGCACTTACTGAGCACCTACTGTGTGCGCTCCATTGTTTGGTTGAAGAAAGGAGGCAGGAAAGCAGCCCGCTTTCTATGCACCCTGCGCAGTCCCAGTGTGGGGACAGAGAAGGGAGGCATGCCAAGGGGTCATGGGCCAAGGTCATAGAAAGTACTTTTGGAAGGGCCGGGAGGACCTGAGGTGTAGGGTGTGCCCCAGCCTCACCCCAGCTCTGCTCAAGGCTGGGAGTAAAACCCAGGTTTCCCAGGGGTTCCCCAGCCCTCCGCCTTCCTATTCCGGCAGGCAGGAGAGACCAGGAAGGCACCCCGCACCTCAGCTTTTTCCTCCAAAGCATGGACTCAGGCCTGTGGGCGGCCAGGCCCAGTGTGGGCCCCTAGTGGGCTGCAACTCTGCAGCCCCCCCTCCCCCGGCCCCCTCCTCCGCGGGCAGGAAGTGGCTCCTCAGCCGGTGCAGGCCTCCCTGCCATTACCCAAATTGCTCCATTGTTGGCTGTGCGGCTGTGCACCTGCTGACAGCAGACAGCGCTGCGCTAACCTGTCATTAAGTGCCTGGGTCCCACCTCCTGCAGGCGGGAGGACCACAGAAGGCTGGGGGCAGCTGGGCACTTCCCACTGCCCCGGGCCTCCAGAGGGTCACGTTCTCCCCACCGACTTCTCCCCCGCCCACCTCACCGGTGCAGGGCAAACAGAGCTGGGGGAGGCTGGACACAAGTTCCATCTAAACAGGCCACACGTGGCTGTGTGGCCTAGGGTCCCTTGGCGCCTGGGGCCTCCTGTTCCCCCCCCCCGCCCCCACGCCCGGTGCAGGCATGGGCCGCACTGGGGACATGGGGGGGGGCTGAGCAGGGTTCTGCGCCTGCCTGGGAAGGATTGCCACGTGCTGGTCAGGAGGAATGTGCATGGACCACAACACCAAGGTGACACCACATCTCAGACCCCATTCGGATCCCTGTCCTCCAGTAGAAAGGCTCTGGGATTTCCGTTTTGCAGATGATGCGCCTGACCAACGTCACATAGGAAGATTCCCCGTTACCAATAGTCACTGTGACCCCCAACCTCATGGAGACAACTTATTTGGCACACAGTTTCAGAGACGAGAGGCCGCCGTGGCAGGGAGGGCGTGGTGGAGCGGAGGGCTCACATCACCGTCACCAGCCAGCCAAGAGAGGAGGTGCAGGAGGAGCCTGGAGAGATGCAGTCCTCGAGAACACGGCTCCAGGGGCCGCCTTCCTCCATCGATTATTATTGTGTGTGGGGGGGGATTG